TGCCTTACCTGTTCCATGCTTCCTGTTGCGTAGCTATGTCGCGAGTGGCGCGAGTGGCACGCGTGGGCGAGTGGCGCGAGCGGCTCGAGTGGCGAGGACGACTTTAATTTCACCCCCCCCCGCAATGGAGAACCCCAACAGCAGCAGAGAAGCCTTGCAAAAGCAGCACAACAGGATAGCGAGATGAAAACATACTGATTTCATGAAGGAGTTGAGATGTGATCTTGCTCGTGGTCTGCATCTACCTTCGTGCCACATCCGAAGTCAGGCTGCGACATGCATCACTCCACCGGTACACTCTCAAGCACTAACGATTGGAGCAGGATCCAAATCAGTTACTGCTCCGAGATGCTAGACTTCCTTGCATGCACGGATTGATGTCCGTTTACGTAGCTGTGCCAGCTCCCCAGCACAACACCCACGCTACGAACCTCACACTGATTCCGACGACCCGAGCCTTACGGCAACATAATCGATGTCTCTGCCGCGGTAAACCTTGCAGCAGTCCATTTCAGTTCAGCAACTATCACCATGTTCAAGCAAAACATAGCAAAACGGACCTAGAATAACGGGCAGAACAACACCCTTGCTTTGCGCATCTTCGCGCCAAACGTGATATCTTTAAGTACGGACATGTGCTGCTTCGTCTTTGCAGAGGCGGAGGAGCTCTTTGCCAGAGCTCTTTGATGGTCTTGTTGATCTCAGCCATCTTGAGGGAATGAAACTTCATCAGGGCCTTGTCGAGAGCTGAATGGTACCTGCCCAGATCCTGCATAGTCGACATTGTGTGAAGTATCACATGCTGGAGGACTTCATGCAGTCATACAAGGATTTCAAGCAGTCCTTCGCCGCCAACGCAGCGGACTCGTGCCGAATCGTTGCCTCTCGATGGCGTTGCTCCACTCCTGTCGGTTCGGGGTCAAGTCTCGCAGGCTGTGCACAGCTGCACTCTGCGCATTCTGACCCGTCCTGCGTACAGAGGGGAGGCCAGCTCAACTTCCAGAGATCTAATCGCCTCCCTGGTCTGGACGAGCTCTCCCTCTCGGAAAGAGCGCTGCTTTTGCAGCTCCATTGCCCGGGTCCTCACATTGGACAGCTGCTGCCGCAAAGCTTCAATATCTCGACCGCCCAGGTCTTTCAGCAAGGAACTGATCTCTTGCTGATGGCGCTCCACCTCTTCCTCAATGCTTTTAAGCCGAATGTTCGCCTGGAGCGCTTCGCGGATAGCTTCCTTCTTCTGGCGCTTTTCTTCGGCCGCTTCAAGCCGTGCCCGAAGTCCCTCGAGTTCGCGCTCTGCTGAGCGAACGCTGTCGTCCGCTATGGCCAGCTTGGCTTTTAGGACCTCTGCATTTTCGACACGACCCTGCATTACTTCGATTGACTTGGCAAGCTCCGTCAAAGCATCAACTTCACGCTGTAGGTTTCGAATTTGGGCATCTTGAGTGTCAAGGTCGTGTCGATACTTCGAAGCATTGCGTGCCCTGTCATCCCGCAGTTGTTTTGCACGAGCTGCAGTGGAATCGGCAGCAGCCCTTGCGCGGCGAGCTGCTTCGGTGCTTTCCTGAAGCTCGACCTTTCGGACCGCCAACTCCGAATCCACGTCGCTTCGCCTGGCCACTTGAGACTGGAGAACTTGCAGCCGTCCTTTCTGCTCACCCAGCTGGGTGCGCAGCTGCTCTTGTTGCTTAGCCAAGAGGTCCCGCTGCATGCGAACGGAGTCCTCCTCTTTGCCAAGCTCCACCAGTTGCTCTTGCAGCACCCGCAGCTGGTCACGCTCTGCCTGTGAAAATTCACCGTGCCCCCCTGACGCACCTTCTCCCCTCTCTACCCTGCACCCTGACCCGCTGCCCCGGCCTGCAGGGAAACCTTGGAGTTGGCACCGAGGAGACGTGCTTCTTTGCCACGGACGGCAACCCGCAGCTCCTCCACGGAGCTGGCGAGACGCCTCGTCTCTGAGATCAGTTCTGAAGCAACGAAGCGGTTTTTTCTTGACCGTGGCCACATAAGCCTTCAAGCATGAACCGAAGCCTCAATCGAAAATCCGAGCCACTGCAAGGCAGCGGCTTCCGGACGCAGCTCGTGGAGCGCCTTGACCTTTGACATTTGGCTGCGCGAATTTTAATGTCAGTTCATAACTTTTTCACCAGATGTAAGCGGCAGCCGAGAGTCTCTTTCCTCTAATCTCCGACGCTCCCGTTCTTCAGGCTCCAACAAACCACGCAGAGAGCCTCAGCTTCTGCGCAACATGCTGGGTGCACTACACACGCTTTGTTTTTTTCTTCGTTCATTGCAGAGATCAAAGCTCACGGCGAGGTTACATAGGAGCCATAACGACTTTTTGTTTGAGGACCTTCTTCCATAATGACTTAGGCTTCAGGGTGCTGAGATCGCGGCGTTCCTCCTCTGCTGCAGGAATGACCTCCTTTTGCCGTCTCGGCATCTCCTCCTTTCGCAACTGATCAAGACGCTCCCAGCGAGGACGCTGAGCTTCGAGGGCAGCTTCCTGCAATTGGACCTCCTTGAGCTTTTGCTGGCTGGATTCCAGAAAACCCGGGATTTTGGCAATCAACTTTTCCATTGCATCCTCGAAGGTTGCCAAGTCACCCTCACCACAGAAACCACGTTTGCAAAACTGGCAGATGTTCTTCGACCGCGACTTTTCTCGGAACTTCTCGTACATGTGCTTTGCACTTTCGGTCATTGACACATCCTTTCGAGCCAGCTCTATTTGCTGCTTCACATCTTGCAACCTGGCTTTGAACTCAGAAGCGGCGCTGCTGTGACTGGCGCCAGAGGAGGCAGAAGGCACCCCAAGTTCCGATGCGATTCTGGCATCTTCCTGCTGGAGACGATGCAATTCTGCTTCAGCGCTGGCTTTGCGGGCCACTGCAACACCAACACGGTTCTGAAGCTCTTGGCACTTCCTCGCCTGATCTTGCAGCGATGCCTGCGACTCGTGCAGTGCAGCCACCACTTTGGCTTCCGCTTCAGAGGCTTCCGGCATTTGGCCCAGCAGCGGCACTAGGCCAGGTCGCAAGTCACTAAGCTTTTTGCCGAGCTCAGCTTCAGTTTCTCTAAGGCGCTGTCGCAAAGCATCAACCTCTGCGTGCACACTGCTTTGGGCTTCCAGTTGTGCCACCTCGCTGCTTTTGCGAGATAAGGAATACTGTAAATCGTGGCGTCGCCGGCCTATGTCCTCCTGACGAGCCTCCAGGCGTCGCAAACGGGAATCGTTTCCCTCTGCTCCCAAAGCTGCTTCGTTCTCCCTCATGGCACGAACCAACGCATCCAGGTCTGGCCCAGCCCGGGAGAGGGTCTTGGCCTCCTCCTCAAGTCGGCCAACGGCTTTAGTGCAGTCCTGGATTCGGGCTTCATGCTTAGAAGCTTCCAAGGCGGCTTCCTGCAAGGCACGCTCGGCTGAGGCTATGCATTCCTCTGCTTGTGAATCTCGCTGTCTCTGGTCCCGTTCTGCCTGCGCGAATTTTGCAGCTTCGGAGTCCAACCTGGCACGAAGTGCGTCAACTGACGATTCATTCGCCTGCAGCAGGCGAGATTGCAAGTCTGCCCTTCTGGATGTCAGCAACTCTGCCGCTGCAACTGTCTCGCCCATGTCCTCTCGCAACTGGCGAGATGCGTGCACGGCTGCCTGGTACTGCGCCTCTCCCTTGCTTACATCCGATTTCGCCTGTCTGACCTGCTGGTCACTTTGTACAACTTGACGTTCGTTGAACTGCCGGGCTTGTTCTTGCAGCTCGTTTAAACTCTCCCGAAAGTATTGCTGTCCTTTCTGCTTCATGAGTTCTGTCGCTTCTGCCTTATCCTTTTGACAACGACCGATGAGGCTTTTTAGCTCAGCAACTCGGATCCCACAACTTTCATACTGGGCCAAGTCAATCTCTGCCTTCTGCACCTCCTCACCAGCCGAAGCTAACTTGGAATCTAATCCTTCAAGCTCGTTAGACAACTCTTTAGCTGTTCTTTCGCGGTCTTCCTTCTGGCCAGCCAACCTACGAGCTTGATCCAGATGTGCTTGCGAAAGGTCAGCATCAGCTTTGCGGTCGCGAGTGGTTTTTGTCCAATCCCTCTGCACCTCCTTAATGTTCTGAAGCGCTTTCGTATAGCGAGTTGCGCCAAAGATGTCATCAAAGCGCTTCTTCACACTTGCTGCTTCCTGCAACGGCCATGACGACTCCTCTTGGTGACAGAAGATGACGTTTTCAAGCACGGCACGAGAAACCCCCATGAGTTCGGGGACCTGCGTATCCATGTCTGCGCATCTATGACTGAGACTTGCCTTGCTGCCATCCTCGGCCGTCGTTCGCAAGACACTCTCCAAAGCTTTGAAAGCAGGCTTCATTCGGCCTGCCACGCGACGGTTGGCTAGCTGGAAGGATCGGATTGCACAGATCTCGCGGTCCTTCTGCTCAGCACCAGCCCTGAACAGCATGCGGATCTGACCCTTCACTTCAGGAAGGCGTGCTACTTGGGGGTCGTGAACGAATCCGTGACCGTTTTTAGCATTGGGCGGCAGCATTCCAGCAGAAGCCATCTTCAAGCATTCAATGATGGTTGTCTTTCCCGAGCCATTCGGCCCGACGATCAGGGTGACCGGCTTCTCAAATTCAATCACCTCCATTCGCTCATGGTCAAAGCTTCGTATGCCCTGGATGCCCAGCTTGGAGATGGTCGTCATGGCGGAACCACCGAAACAAATACGGTCACAGCACTCTTTGTGAAAAGCATGTTGGGAATGCGGCGTTCTGGAAGCACAGTTGAGATGTCAAACTGATGATGCCTCTGCATTGCTTCATTCATTAAGTCATTAAGTCAAGCTGTATCTTCCGGGCATGTGGACGTTGCACCCACAGCCCAAACTAAACGGCTGCATGCCAACTGCCAACTGCAATTTAGCACAAACACGCGACTACAGCAAGAAGAAACAGCAGCTCTTGTTTTGACAACGTCGCGCAAAATGCCCATGCAAGACGCTGAGCCATTGTTTACTCACTCGCCATTCGTGCCCAGCCTGCCAGCATGACCACTAGATCAGACGATATCGGACGTCAGCTCTCCGCTGTTGGCCTCCGCTCCGTAGATGGCTGCATCCCCGTGGCGCTGCAACCGGAGCCGAAGCCTGCCACGGCGGCCAAGTCACTCCAACATTGACTGTCCATACCTACGAGGCTGCATGAGGCTGCACAGGCTGCATGTCCTCACCTCCCAACGAAAAGTGCTCGGAGTCTCTCCACGCCTGGTGAGCACCGCTGCTTGCTCTCACTCTTAGGCTTAGATTGACCTCCCTTGCCTGCGCGCTTGCTTGCAATGGTTTCGTAAGTTTGAGGACTGGGGCGTGACTCCAGCTGCCAAGCCGTCTGTATCGTCTCTGAGTTGAAAGATTCATGCCCACCCTCCCTGTCTCCCTTCTCCTCCCCTTCCCCTCCCCGCTTAGCCCGCAAACCCTCGACCAGCATGATGCGAGCAGCAGCCACAAAACGGACAGTACTCTGGCCCAACATCGTTCTTGCTTGCTTGCTTCCTTGCTTGCTTGCTCCCTCCGGCTTCGCTTGCCTTGCGTAGCCACGCTCTGGTGTCAAGCGACTTCAGCACCTACTGCTGCCAGTACCTGGTCCCCACTCAGGACTCAAACTATCAAAGTTTCCTTTGCTCAGCTACTCCTGGGACGCCGATGTCTCGACTCGAAAATTTGCACCTGCACGACTGTATCCCGTTCTTTCTCCTGCCGGGTCGAAGGGGCACACCTCTGCGCAGAAGCACACCTCTTTGTCTGCGGCAAGGGCAGGTTTGGCACTCTCTCTCTTCGGCTCTCCTGGGCATGAGGTGGTCAGGCGGCCCGGGCCGCCCGAACAGTTTTCGGACTTTTGACAAATTCTGTCGTGACAGATTCTCTGCACTGCCATCGGCAGTTCACTTCTGGTGGAAAGGCTTTCCACACGCGAAACACTTGCTTGCTTCAGAGCAAAGGCGCTCGAGCGCCCTCCCCCGAAGAGGCTCTCGCGAAACACTCTTCCACCACACAGCCAAAGAGAAGGCAGGTCGCTCCCTCTTGCGCACGTGCGCGCCCTGGTCGCCCCTGTCTTGCTGCGCCTAGAAGCCACCGTGGGCGACGCATGCATGCAGTGTCCTTTGACCGTCATGGAAACTTCCACCCGCAGTGAACACCACGGGGGCACTGGTCCTCAACAGGGATAATGTAAGTAGTCTGGCCGGGGACTCAGTGCGGTGTGTGTTTCAGTGTTGCGAGGGGACCAGATGCAAAGAAGTGGACATGCGTTGGCTACTTCAGCACTAGGGGGCCTTGACACATGCTAGGGGAACACAAGCCAGCAAGCATGCGTCATGCTCCGTCTTCGACAAAGCACCTTAGCGCCACCATCTATGCGCGGGGGACCGGTCCCTACAAACATGTCTTGGTCTTGATGCCCAGGCCTTACCATAGTTACATGCATGTTTCGAAGTAGTAGGGGACCAACATGGTGCAATATGCAGTTTGCTGCCAATGCACTCGGGGGGGACGAACACCAGTTGCACTAGTTGTGTTGCGTTTGTGGGAAAATCCGAGCACACAGAGTGTAAACTTGCAACAAATTGCGAGTTCGATCGAGTTTGAAACACGGTAGCGGCAGCAGCCTTTTGTGAAGATGAGGCCGGGGGTTTGGGTTACATAATGTTACTTCAGGCGGGATGTCAGAGTTGCAACACAGCGGGCCTCATCTGTTAAAGCTTTCGCGAAACACTAATTCTTTCGCCAGGGCTAGGGACAAAGGGAGCAAGCCCCCTATGCAAAACACTCTCTCGCTCTCTCTTCTTTCCCCAGGGCTGTGGTGGGGAGTTGCCTCCTCTCTCTCTCTCTCTCTCTCTCGCTCTCTCTGACTCTCCCTCCCCTTGCATCAGGCCGTTCGAGGGGGTTTCGAGCTGCAACGACATGACTGCGGTCTTCATGCAGGAGGAGGCATCGATGCTTTTCTACAGCCATACTTCTTAGTACAACATGGGAAGTAGTACGTAGCTGTAGTATTGTTGTGGACTCTGCGAGGCTAGATCTTCATGCCTTTGCAGTTTCTGTGCGCCGTGTATCTTCTCCACGCAAAGCCGAGCCTTTCGCGAGCAGTGTGGAGAGCAGATATCCCCTCCGGCATTCCTCCGAACCACGGGAGGCACAGCAGGCGCAAATCCCAAGAACAATCTCAAGTTGTTTCCAGCTTCATGTTTGCTGCTGGTTGGTTGTGGGGCACATGATGCGTGACGACGCTTCAAAGAAGCCACAGGCATTCCTTCGTATCCTTCCAACTCAATCGAAGGGTCTTAGCACGTTCCCGACGAGTCTCCACAGCCATAGTCTAGATACCAGCATGTCAATCCGATTGCTGTGCGCAAGCCAAGCGTCCAGAGCATGGCTCGCACTGCTGGCCACGGCCCAGCAGCTGCAGAAGCGTTGCCTTGTGCTCCGTCCTGCAGTCTGACGCTCATTGGCAGATAACCCGCGGATGGTCGGCCCCGTTGGATCGTGCAGACTTCCGCAACGTGAATTACATAGCCCAGGAGAGGGCGGCTGGATCCCGCCGCATACCATGAGGGTTGCAGATTCCGGCAGCCATCCTGTCTTGAAATCGGGGTGGAGAAGCCACACGCGCCTGCAGGTCCAGATTACCCAAGTGGCGGAACGAAAAACTGCACTTTTCAGGCCCGCCTTCGAGCAAGCGGCGGAGGCTGGCCGAGCAGCTGGCATGACCGTATCACTTGCGCATGTCCTCGTGTCAGGTCATAAGCTGCAGGTGCAGAAGTTTCAGCATGGCTGTGTGGACAAGGGCTTGTGCCGAGCATCGGCGATGCGCCGTCATCTGATGATGCAGGTTGCAGTCGGAGTGTACTGGGTTCCGCCAGGGGCCCCTGGCGCTCCCACAAAGTCACAGTCACAGGCCGAGAGCCGAGAGAGACGAGAGAGACGAGAGAGGCGAGCCTGCCTGGGGGGTTTTCGGGGCGCCGGGCGGTTTCATTGCTGCCGATCCCCTCGCAGGTCGGCAAGATTCGGCACGGCAGCAACATGTCTCATCCGTGGATGCAGTCATCTGAGCACGAGACGGAATGACTTTGGCAACAGCGCCGATTGTGCGTCGTTGAGGCGGAGCTGCAGTCCTGAAGTGAACCTCAGCTGGTGCAGTAATTACTTTGGTGTGTGTAGGGGAGAGCTTCGACACAGCCGAGCTACAGTCACTCTGCTCGGCGCTTTGGGCTTGCAGTTCTGATCAGAGATGAAATTTCTGCTTTCTTGTTTCCTGCCCAAGAAAATGCATAAGTCTTTCAATCTCCTGTCAGAATGACTTCTTTCCCGGCCTTTGGCCACACTCATGTGCGGGCTCCGAGGGTTGCTTTCCTCGAGCACACGGCATGTGCAAGCCACGTTGCGCCGTCACAGACCCGCCTTTGGAGAGATGCTTCCGCACACCGTGCATCGAAGCAGGCCGTGGAGCCTCACACGATTTGAGGGTCTGCAAGTTACGTTCACGACAAGCACATGCCGATTTCTACCGATGTCGCATCTTGACGGTCTACCCCAAGGTCTGCAACAGACCTGGAGAAAACCCACAGCGCCTCCAAAGCCCGCCTCTCCACCCAGAGCTGTTTTGGACCTTGGCGTCGGTACACATGGCAGCCTATAGGCTCCTTATGAAGTTCCGTGTTGTCATTTTTGAAGCTGAGCTACTCCAAACCGGCTGAGCATGCTCCACAGCTCTGTGCTGCTCGACCCAGTCCTCCAAGTATGCTGGAGCACCAAGCCGCATCAACGTTTTGTTCAAGAAGCTTGGCCTTCACTTTCCTCTTGCTTGCCCTGTGCCCAGGCCTGAAAGTTCGATGGGCCGTGGCTGATCAGCACCCTTTGTGGTCGTGCCCGCAGATCAGGTGAGGCCGGTGAGGCCTTGGAAGAGATGTGCTTCGGCAATCGCAACGGTTTCAGCTTCAACGAACCAACCCAGTACGATCAAGTAAGATGTACGACCAGCGGCTTCGTTCTCAGGCGACTGATCTGATGGTGACTGCCCAGCAATTTCCGGGAGAATAATTTGTGACACCTTTGCCTGAGCTCTTTCGTGCAGCCTCGAGATTGCTCTCGTCACACCTATGACATACCAGGCAGCCTTCCTGGCAGAAGTCTGGCATAACGCATCGGAAACGTTCTGCCAAGTGTCGTCTGCAGTCCTGCTGTGTCAGAGAATGCGAGCGGAGTCTAACCCACAGGCAAACGACGTTCGTCATGTTTTGGCCGGGTGGCACAGGGGTCACCTGCCGGCTGAAGCAAGTATTCTTGTCTGAGGGCTGCTGCTTGACCTCAAGCAATTTCCCAGGAATTAACTGGCTCCGACTGGGAGCTTTCTTTGAAACCATGCGCGCATTGCACTGCCAAGCGTCGTCCACAGTCCTCGTCCCCCCGAAACAAAAAGTACTGTCAGCACTTGCAGCACAAAACTGTGTGCACTTGCTGCTGTGCCACTGATTGCTAGCAAAGTAACGTTCCAGACACTTGCCGGCTCAACGCACCAGCCATTTTTTCCGCAAGCTGGTGCTTTGCCTTACATCGCATGACAGACCTGTTCCGTAGCAACGGACCCTGAAGACACGGGCACTGAATTCGGGCCGAGAGTCGTCCACCACCCTCGGCTCGAAACTTCACGTGACATCAAGGAGCGGCCACGCATGCTGGATGTTACTAGGTCCATTGGGCATTCGTAGCTTGTCATGCCAGATAGCGCCGGAGACACTTGCCGGCTGAACGAGAGCGCCACTGCCTCGCAAGGCGTCGTGACTGCAGGCGATACAAACCGAAACACGCTCACGCTGGGTTCTCCAAGAAGTGTGCAGCGCCTGCAAAGAGCTCAGTCGCCTTTCCATCGCCTGGTTGGCGATTTGTGAAACGGACAAGCGAATCTGCACGGGGCGCAGCCTGCACACCGACATCCGCGGAAAGCCTTGGTCAGAGCCAAGGCCGCTCGAAACAACCGAAAGCCTGCTCCACAGTTACCAGCTGGGGAACTCAAGCTGGATGCAAGAGCCGCCCGCATGAGAGCCTCGCGCAGTTGACAGGCGTAGAGAGCTTCAGTGATGAATTGCTGACGGGCCACTCGCTGGAGGAGGACATCCTGGGCTGTACCTGCGTGACAGCACAGAGGCCTCTTGCTGGTCCTGTGAGCAGCTTTCAGCTGAGAGGCAATATCGGGCCAAGCTCTTGCGCCGGCGGCCCTACGTCGCGGCGATGACGACTGCTTAGTCGTCGGCTCGACAGTCGGGAGCCGGCGTCGCTGTGGTGACCTCTTGAGCTTCAGGCAGGCACAGGCGAGGGCAGACAGCAGCTTATTTGTGACTGAGACGCTCAATTCGTCGATCTTCGGGTCGTCGGAGGGTGCAGCAGCCGCCCCGGCCGCCCCAGCCACCACGTCCGGCCCAGCCCCACTCAGACCCGGCTCACTCAAACCCGGCTCAGAAGCTGGACTCGCCGCTTCCGGCGAGGGTGGCTGCTCGGTTGCAGCCGGCCCTGACCCCGACTCTCCTGGCGGCAGTGGCCCTGCTTCCGACGCCTCGGGATCCTCTGGCGGCTCTGGCGGCAGGTGAAAGGAGATCTCGGAAGGCTGGAGAGCGCTTTCCTTGGACTTGGGTCTCAGAGATCTTCGCCTCAAAGGGCTCACCGGACTGCTCGGTACGCTCGGGCTCCGCGGGCTTGCAAAGCCAGAGCTCGTCGTCACATCCAGAAACGCACTCACCCGTAGTTTGCCCGGCCGCCCCAGAGCATCACCGTGCCTCAAGCGCCAGCTGCTATGGCAACTGTTTCACAAATTTAGCTGCAATCAATAAGCCTGCCGGAGTTTGCTGGCGTGTCCCCGTCACAAGGCGAGTGATCTAACCTTGGCAAGACATGCGTCATCAGAATCGTTGTACCCATCTCGGCACACTCTCGACAAGTTGGGCGTACTCTCGGTTGGATTCAGTTACATTTCAAAACTAGATGTGCATGTCTGCTGGCACTTGTGTGCCAAGCTTGCTGCGACCTGGAACCAGCAGCGAGGATACCATACACAGCGAGGATGCTAGTTGCTTCGTTAAGTTCCGTATCACGTGCAGGTACACCAGAGTGGCCAACTCTGGTTTCCGACATTACTGGTAACTTCGTTGGATGCAGTCCCAGTGATGTGCTGCGTCGCCCTGCTGTGTAAATTCGGATACACGATCGTCTTGCGTGCTTGCTTGTCCTCCCAAAACAATACGACTCAATACGACAACTTGCATGACATGAAATCTCTGAGCATACCCATGGACAGCGCATGACCGAGGACCGCTCACACACACACACAGCCCCTTGATGGGGCGCATTTGCTGCTGCTCGGGTGCAATCGGCAGTCGCGGAGAGAAGCAACACTTCAACATGGACCGGATACTTGAACGAGTATTGTGTTGCCGACGTGAGTCGAAGCACTGACTGTGGCGTGGCTTCGGGGGTCCCCACCAGAAAAACAACAACGACAAACCGTGCAGGTAACGAGTGCTGCTGGTTCTCCCCCTGGTGTGCTACTGTGCCGGGGCCTGTTTACCGAAAACAACAGAATCATCACGAAGTCATGTTGTATCATACTATGTTGACGCTGGTGCTCTCGGTCTCTGTCTCCTCTGCTTCTTCCTCGTCTTTTTCTTATTTCGTGTGTGGTGGCAAACTGGCCTGCTCAGCGATTCGGGGCTCGCCGGTGACATCTCTCCTCCTGCACAAGCGCTTGAAACGGCTAAGGGCATCTAAGCGACTGAGGTAGCTGTCTCAAAGCACCTTGCACACTGTGCCGTCGTGCAACCCGAATAAATCGCTCTGCTGCATCATCGACCTGATGGCGAATGCAGCTGCGTCTCGCTGAGCCTATCGATCCAGCTCCGGCCTGGCTGTTCCTGCGGCTCAAACCACCTTCCATCTTGTCACCTGGTAAAATGCCACGACCACCAACGGGTCGAAAATCGATCGAGCGAGCCTGGCTTGATCGGGATCTTCATAGATTTTCCAAACCTCAGGAACTTGAGAAAGTGAAGAGGGGCATATGCGCGGAGGGCAAACCATCTTTCGTGCATCGAAGCAGCGCGACAATCACTTTGTACCTAGGCAGCAGGCAATAGCAGGGGGCAGCGCAGTTTCCGCATACGCGAAGAGTGCTGCGAAGAGTCTTCACCTCCTCTTCAACCTCCTCTGGCTCAATGCGAAAGGTCTTCTGCCTACATGAGCGAGCTCCGTATAGCTCCGTCACTCACATACAAAAGCAAGCATTGCAAACGCTGCCTCTTGGCTTTTGTTGCCAATCTTTTCTGAATTTTTCCTGCACCCAGGGAGCAAGGTAAAGTCCGGACCCCGCCGACAGAAACGCAACTCGCGCCGAGCAGCGGAGTTCTGCTGCTGGTTTTTCATCAGCGCTAGGGTTCGAATCGGACCCCCCGTCGTCATCTGGTTCTTTGTCCTGGAACAATGCAGCGCTAAGCATTGCAAAGGCAATGCAAAGGCCAGGCCCTCCATCTTCGGTCCTTGCTGGTCTTGCCGCTGGCAAGTCTGGCCAGCTCTCGAGATGCTGTCTCGCTCGTCAGGCGCTGATACCGAAGGTGGGGCCTCAGTGCCAAAGACTGGGCGTTAAGTTGAACGCATCATCCTACGATGGGGCAGCGGCCACACCAGCTGTTCCTGCCGGCAATCACTCATAGACAAAGAATCATCCGGAGACAGCTTCGCATCAAGACCAGAATGGTTGCAGACAAGAGTCAGATCCATCCATCAAGCTTTCGTCATAAGGATCTGGAAGTGGTGTCTCCAAGTGGCACGAGGCACCTCTCTACCCCGCTAGATATGGCATACGGTGTGTTTCGTTGAAACATCTTGAGTGCAAAGTCGGCTGAACAGCCAGCAAACCAACTAAACCAAGGGTCAAATGGCTCGTCCGATCGTTGATCCCGCAAGCATCAAGCGGATTGGATTGAATTCGCTAGCCGCCGGCTTGTTTCTCGCCTCGGCCTCATCTCTCTTGGACCTGATTTGTGCGTCTTCATTCCTTCACATCTTGATTGATTCATGCTTGGAGGCAGTGTGGCATGCGGAAGAGGTGCTGCTAATTCAGGCGTTCCAGCGTCTTCGGGAACCTAATTTGACTACTAGCTGCCGCCAAGTAGCTTTGTGTCATTGGGTGTTTCCACACGTAATGCGGCGTTCCGTGCTGTTTGTCGATCCTGTCACAAAACGGGAACGAATGAACCTGTGGTGACATGACAGGACATGCATCATTACAGCAACGTTGCTCAAGAAGAACTTAATGCGACTTGCCTCATCCGGTACAAGATCACGCTGTCTTCTTGATTCCGTCCTTCGCAAACGGCGCAGGATGCTTGCAACGTAATGCTGCGACGGTTGCTGTGGGAGTGCTGTGTAGGCTGGCAGTGTCTCTGTAGCATGATGTTCATCGTTTTGTCGGGAAGTGCCGCGATTTTCGTTGTGAATCTGCAGAATTATGGGAAGTTCCCGGAAGCATTAACTCGCTTGTGCTTGCGCATCGATTTCTAAACAAATGGAAAGTTTCTCCTTTCGAAACCTGTGGCCAAAACTTATTCCCCTGCTCTGCCTTAATTATGCCGCCTCTACTACGACCACGACTTCTGTGGCGACGACTACTACCATTAAGTACTCCTGCTACTTTCACTACTGCTACTGCTGCTGCTGCTACTACTACTACTACTTCTTCTACTACTACTGCTACCAC